TTCCTTTCAACCTTGGCAGTGCTTTTATCAGGATCACAAAGCTGTGGGTCCTCTTTGGCTTCTGCCCAACAGATTAGGTGTAACATCAGTAACACCACAAGAACTGGTCTTGCTCATGCTCACTCTCTATCATAGTATCTACATGCAGGAACAAACATTTCTAATTTGGACAACACAAATGAAACCTGCTGGAAAATTAAGCAGACTTCCTGTGTGAAGGAAGTGGAAACCATGTTTAGAAACAAATGCTGCTAGAACACTGCTGTTCACTAGTTGTTTTTTTTTACACGAACTCAAGTTTTTGGCCAGTTTTCCCTTTTTTCCCCTCTCGTGCTGGAAAGCAGCAGTGCCTATGATCCCACGCAGTGCTGTCACCAGCTGTGAGGTGCACAAAGCCATTAAGTGCTACCCAGCATAGGGGCTGTTCTCCAGTTGTGCCCTACTGTGGTCATTGCAGCACCTCATGACCAGGCTTGGCATACACTCAGTCAGTGCTGTCTGCTGCTGAATTCACAGCCCTGCCTTGAATCCAGTACTGATGGCAGGGTTTTCAGAAGCTGCTGCCCCTTTAGGAGTGGTGGGTTATCTGGGAAACTGCTGTTCTCTGAAATTCCCTCCTATACCTTGAATTTTGGTAGAAGCTACAGAATTCAACCGGTAGATACATGATTTGGCATCCAACATCATCTGAGGCACTTCAAGGGATTTAAGCCATCAGCACAGGGCTGGCAAACAAAACACAAGCCCTCAAGCTCTCAGCCATTCAGCATGAGTGCCAGAGGCCAGGCAGGGTACCCACAGCACATGCAGTGTCTTCCAAAACTTACCAAGAAGCATTGAATCCTACCCAGAGCGTGGGATTCAGATCATGGATTAAGACACTTCAATATAAATGCTTCCATGTGTGCCCCATGCCTTAGTGTCCTCTAAAGTAAATGACAATCTTGCTAGTGAAGCCTAGAGAGGGATTTGTCTGTACAAGTGTGGGCACCTCCTTTTGGGGAGCTGATTGGCAACCAATCTGCATCAAGGGAAATTTCAACTAGGTCTTCAAAAGATGTTTTTCACTAAGAGGACCAAGAGTAGTCTTCATCTGTGGAGATACTCAAAACTTTTCCGAAAATGACCTGAGCCACGTGCTCCAAGTGCTGTGTTGACTGGGGGGTTGCACTAGATGAGCTCCATAGCTCCATTTAAAGCCTATTTAGTAGTTCTCCACTGATTGCAAAAGGATACCAAAGCTATTTTAGTAGGTGTCTTACTCTATAAGCTGCATCCACCCCCTTGTGTCTAGATCCTACATAACTGATGGTGTAAAGGGGAGGGGAGCAACATAGCTTTTGCAGGGGGAAGTTGTGCCTCAAAAGCCTACTAAGAGGCTTTGAAGGAACCAGTGAGTGTGCTGATGTAGGTGATATTGTGTATTTGGTTTTCTTGAAACCATTTGGCAAAGGCTGTCTCATGAAAGATTCTTACAGAAACTGAGTAGCCAGTGGATTCAGAGTAAGGTTTTTTGTGGGTTAATGAGTGATTAAAACATAAGAAAGATCTGTGAAGAAAGGTACTGGTTTTGTAGTGATTCCCCAATATAAACCATGTTAAAAAAGAGGAGATGATAGTGAGGTGGCTGAGTGTGAATGACACATATTATCTAGGGTTATAAAAACAAAAGTAGCTGTGAAACATCATGGAGAGACCTTGTGATAATCTAGGACTGTAAAGATGCAGATGAGATCACTGGTGATAAACACAAACTAATGTACAGCATAAAATACACATCTCTAAAAATAAAGACACAATGACGGCCTGAAGAAAAGGATTAAGTGTGAATGAAGGTGGTCTGTGAGCACCTCTCCAGTGTTCAGTAGTGGAGAAGGGCAACAAAATGTTAGACATTCCAAAGAAAAGGAAAAAATATAAAAACATCACTGTGTGACAGCGGACCACAGCCTGGGCCCTGTGTACCTCGGAGCACAGCAGAAACAGACTTGAGCAAATTAAGGTGAAGGGTGATCAAAGGCACAGGACAGCTTCTGTAAGGGGAGAAATGAGTCTTCTATGTGGAACAGGAGAAACTAAGGAGGAATAGGATAAGGAAGTCTGTAAATTCAAGGTCTATACAATCAGAAATCACTTGCCTTTTTCTCCCAAGTGATCCAATACAGTTACGAGGGAATAGGTTTACAATATGGAAAGGAAATGCTTTTCTACCTAATTGTTTGTATGTATGGCCAGTCTTCGCAAACGAAGATTTGGGAAAGGTCTTTACCCTTCGAGCCTGCGCAGTGGATTTTTTAGGTGAGACACAGCGTGCGCTGAGCTGAGCCCACCCTTTAATCCTAAGGTTCATGTGCCGGGGCCGAGCGAGCTTGGACAGTGGCAGCGAGGTCCTCAGGACGTAGGTTTGTTTAGAGTGACCTTCTCTTAGATGGATGGCCTTACAGGGCTGACGAGCTCCATCTGCCCGGGGGAGTTTCCCTGTCCGGGAATCGAACCCGGGCCACAGTGGTGAGAGTGCTGCATCCTAACCACTAAACCACCAGGGGTCCACCAAGGATACTCCCCCAGGCAGATGGAGCTCGTCAGCCCTGTAAGGCCATCCATGTCTCACCTAAAAAAAAAAATAAAAAAAATCCATTGCCCAGGCTCGAAAGATAAAAGACCTTTCCCAAATCTTCGTTTTCTACCTAGCACATGGTTAAATTTTGGTGCTCCCTGTTTCAGGGTGAGGGGGGGATTGGATGAATAACCTTATGTTGAAGTGGACAGCCAAACTAGATAATTCACACCCTAAAAATGCTTATTTTTCTTCATTGACTATAGAGGAAGCTTGTGATGAGTTGTTCATCTGTAGAAGTCCACGCAAAAGCTGCTCAGAGGCTGGTTGAGATGAAACCCACCTGTAATATATGCTGGAAAAGATGGAGTAACACCCTCCTATATCTTTGAGAACTCTGGCCAAAATTCCTACAAGAAAAGTCTGGTGCAGGGCAATACATCAGCCATATAGCCCAAACCATACTTAAGTCTGAATCTCCCTGGTTGGTCATCAATGCTGAGTCTTCTACCTGTATTGCTGATTTACCTGCATGTGGGGGGATAACTGCTGCATTCTCAAGGGGAGAAATTAATTTTTGACTTAACTTCATTGCAGTAAGAATTTCCCCAAGGACTCAGCTGTTTCAAGCACACTGTTCTTGAAAGATTCTATGCATAAACCAAGACTAAACCCAGCCTACCAATTACCCTTCCCTGTGGGTGTGTAGTCTTTGCTCAGCATTCAAAACAGAAATACCTGCCCCACCAGCACTTAAGTTTTACAATATGTTCTAAAAATAAAATCCTGAGGAATTGTGGGCAACTGGAAAAGTTCCTGGCTTTTATACTTTACATGGGGCTGCAGCAGTTCACCTGGGAGCACAAGCCAGACTCCCTTTTGGGCTGGCACCAAGCAGCATAGCAGATGGGCAGCTCTTTCCTTCTGACCCCGTTTACTGAGTGCTGTGTCCTCCTGCTTCCCCAAAAGCATGAGCAGCTCAGGCTTAGAGGAGGGAGGAGTGTTATCACCTCATGGGCTGTGCAGCAGGAGCATTCAAGTCTGCTGGGGGTGGTCCAGGTTCAAACCCAGCTCTTTCCCGAGCCCCAGCAGAAACCAACACCCAGTCTGCCATACTGATAATAAGCTAGAACCATAAATTCAAACCCAAGACTAACAGTGACAAAGTGGTGTCCCTTGGCAGAGCTGAGACACCGTCCTACAGCTGGAACACCAGGGAGCTGTGTGTACCTGTGCAGCATGAAAACAAAGCAAGCACTGCCTGCATGAGTCAATGTATGCACAACTGATGGCTTTTGTGTTTGTCTTGAAGATTCGTAATGATCTAGTAGTTATACAGTTAAATGCATTTCTCTTTTTGTCCTTCATCTGATGTTACCAGAGGTTTCAGAAAGCTATCTTGGAGATGAAAGACCTCCTAAATTACACCAACAGGAAAATAGCTATAATGGTGCATATATTTTGCTTCCAAGATGAAAGTCACCTTCTTACACTGAGAAAGGCATAGATATTAAAACATGCAACTACATAAACAAGGTTAAAGAATGTAAAATGTGATTCTTCTGATGGGAAGGATGCAAGCTGGACGAGGACGGTTTTACCTTCCTGTTTATGTTTTTCTAGTTATTTCCAAGTAAGTGGCAAAATATTTTAAGTCTTCTTCAAAACATAAGTGAAATTTTAACACATGTTGCAAGACCATGAGAAAACTGCCATACCAGGGCTGTGTAATCCCAAAGACTGCTCTGATGACAGCAAACAATAGATATTTCATGGGAGGTACAAACCTTCATATAATGGCCAGTGCTAATGGGAAAATGACTTCCCATCCCCCAGGGAGAAGACTGTTTATTTTATGCTGTGCTTGTCCAGGAACCTTAGACTTTATTCCTCTTAACCTTATTTAATATAACAGTGAGTATTTTCCATTACCTGTTCAAATCCTTTTATGAATCCTGCTACTATTTTAAAACTACAAATCCTTGGCCATTTTGTGATGTTCTGATCCACCAGTCTTTCCTGCCCCAAAACATTTTCCTGCCTTTAATTTTCCTGAAAGTGAATACCATTAATCCATTTTTAAACTTGTACACTCTAGCACACACACCGCAGACCAATTTTTTTTCACTTGTCAGTTGTACAAGGAGGGTCACTTTAACTTAGTCATTCTTTTGCCTGCCTCGCCTTCTGGCCTGAACACAGGAGTCTGCCTCGATCAAAAACCTGGAAGGTTTAATATTACGGGCCACACACTCGAGCCGGAGGGGGCTGAAATTCTTTCTCAAAGCAGATTAAACCTGCATCTCTAAGCGCTCAGCAGGGCATTTGTGCCCCTCTCTGTCAACCCCACATTCCCACCTTGGATAGTCAAAATCCACCTCTCCAGCAAGAGGCATCGGCACCGCTCCCACCCCCCAAATAAAAGCAAAGCACCAGCTGTTAATGCTGTATTCACAATACCATAATCCACAGACAATGTGACTTTATTCACAAATATGATTTTTACAGAGGTAGAACAAAATACTTTGTATAATTTTTTTTTTAAACTATATACATACAAAGAATATAATAGAATGACAAGAAAGAAAAGGTTGTAAACAAAACAATATTATGCCATCAAATACAGTACAAACAGCATGCATGAACAGCTTCAAATGAAATCTTGCTGGTGTAACTTTATTTTTTTTCTCATGTGGTAAATGAAGAGTAGTAAAGAGTCATGCTCTAATTGGATTGAGTATGCCACAGCTCTGCAATTTTGTTTTAATTATTTTTTTTTCTTTTACAATAAACCAACAGGATTGCTTTCTTTTCACTGTGGTGGGGAATGCTTTTGTAATGCCCAATGTAATCTTAACAGAAAAATATAATAATCAAATCTACAAAGTATACTTTCATTTAAAAAGCAAACCCATAGAAACTGTACAGTTTTAAAAAGCGAATTATCTCAAATGATTCTTAAGAGAATTTTCTAAAGAAAGAATAAAATATGCAGAATAAAAATTAGGAGAGCTATTGTTCTGTAACAAAGCTAATCAAATACTTGTTTTCTATTTCAATAAACAGTTTTTTTAATTAATGACTATTCTGGAAATTATGAAGTGGGCCAGGTTTTATTAATGTTCCACTTGACTAATAAAGCATGAACTCCTTACAGGTACTATAGCTGTCATTCCCCTGGGGATGGATGGGGATTGGTTCTGCATGCATGCTAGAGACAGGGACAAGGTTTAGTCATGGGTGTAGATTTTAAAAATATTTTTAAATGTTTTAAATGTTTAGAAGCTTGTATAAAAATAATCTTGCTTGTTTTGCTGCTGCATTGAGATTTGGATATGTGATTTTCTGCTGAAATTCATTCTTGGCCCTCACAATTGCGAAGGACTTCCACTGGATATTACCTGGGCTGCACCAGGTCCCACCAACAATGGCCAACAGCAATGGTTAGAGCTCACACCTGAAACATGTGAAGCCAACAGCAAACCCCACACTGTTTTCCCTGTAGCTAGGGCTGAACCTCAAAGATCTGGGATTTGGGGAATGGTGCTGCCCTGCCCCTCCATGCCCTGGCCGGACCCATATCATGGGAAGGGCGAAGGCTGGAGAGAGCAACTGTGCTGTTACTCCTGTGAACTATCAACGGTGGTGAACCACATCTCCATCCCACATACCTGGACATGCTGTGACTACACAAGCCCGGGGTCTGGTCAGGTCACTGTCCTGCTCGGGAACAGCAGCTGCGTGAGCTGGAAAACAGGGTTTTCTCCCTCTGACCAGCAAGGAAGGAAACTGTGAGCAGTGGGGTTAAATCACCCTCCTGCAGCTCACCCCCTTAAATGTCATTTAAAGATTCAACCACACAAACAGGACCTGTACATTCAATTTGTCTTTATCAAGAACGCGAGGACGGTCAATGTTAAACACATGCTGTTTATGGCCACACATCAGGCATCTGCCCAAGCTTCAATTGCAATGAGTTTACTAAAGATCAAGCAGAATATTGAACAGGGAAAGATGGTGGGTCTCATTTGACTTCAGGCTCTCAAGTGATTCTGGTTTTAAGGTAGAAGCTCAACTCACACTGGACATGGGACCCACCCCATGTTCATTGTCAGGTTAAGTGATCGAGTGTTGGTATGAACATCATCCTTTGACAGATCACAAGGATTAAGTTAACTGCAGTGAAAGCAAATACCTGCCCTTTGTGGCAGATCCATCTTTGTGGCTTCATCCATGGCTTTGGCATCTTCCTGGGGAATGGATTATCAAACCCCCCTGGATTGCCCTGGTGCAACTGAAACCTGCATTTCGCTAATCGATCCTGCAGTAGATTATCACCCCCAGAAACATGGCATTTATTGAGAGGTGTGAACAGTGTGCTATGCACAGACAAAATACTCTGTGTGATCGTTTACAGTCAACAAAATAAGCCTGGCACCTCTTTGTGGAAGAACTGTACAAAACATGGCTGAAATAGCAGGATTGTCAATGATGGTCAGTGGGAGATACTCTAACCCTCTGAGTAAGACTGCATCTTTCTGTTGTGTAAACTGGCCTACAAGTATGAATAAAACAATACATTCCTGCCCCATTAGCCTTGGGGAAGATTAATGCCCTCTAATCTACGCTAAATAAACTCCGAAGCATGAAGAGAAATATTTAAGTCCCACACTCAGCTGCTTGTGAATTAATAGAGATCACCCTGAAACTGCTATTACGAAATGCAAATATTTGCAAAAGAACAATTAAAAAATATTCCTGAAGTGCAAACGAAAGGCTCGTCAGGCATGTTTGTGGTATGCACAGGGACAGTCAGAAGGCGAACACTAATGACTCCCAGGGCAGAAATCTGAGCTAAAAACCCATTAGCCCATTGGCAGCAGGTAATGGCACAGCATCTCGCATGGGGAAACAATTCTGCCCGATAATCAGAGGCCTTGTTAGGATGCCCCAATTTTGATTCTTTGGACAGTTTGTTTGCATACAACTACCTGTATTTTCAGAAAGCTGCAGTACATGGCTCACAGTAAATCTCCTTCAAACACTTGCTGATACGGCTCCAACCGATCTCATCTGCCCTGATCTGCAATTTTGTGTTAGCTAAAGTAATAAAAGAATCCTGTTAAACCTAAATTATCAAATGAAAAAGGCAATTTTCTCATTTATACTCCATTAGTTTTTTTAGTTATTGCTAGGAAAGCTCTAAAATGCTTAGGCCATAAAATAAACATGTGGCTTAATGTACAGTATGTGTACTTAAGAGGATGATGGCATCTGCAGTAACTGCTCTGCACTGCTATAGTAATGGGATGCACAAATTAAGCAACAGCACATATCAAGTAAAGCATACAAAAATGTATGGCAAAAAGTTACAAGCCTTCTGCTTTTTTTTTTTTTAGTAACTCTTTAATTGCTAAAAAGAAGAAATCACCAATATCCACACCTACGACACAAAATTGCAACATGGTTGATTTCAATAGATGCCCATTACCTCTGTGCCAGCAAAACTCTGTAATACTGTTATCTTTTACATTTCATTGATTAGAAGTTTATAAAAGTGTCCCCTTCCCAAATTAAATTCAATGATATATTTTCCAGCTGAAGTTAAATGATTAGCCTAATATGGTTTCAAGCACACAACACACTTAAGATTTTGGAAAAAAAGCACCCCAGATTCTTAAGTCATGGAGATGTAGGATAACATATGAAAAAGCATCCAAGTATTCATTTTTGGAAATGAAATTAAGAGCTTAGATCACTTAGGTACCTTCAATAATTTTACTCTCAGGCCCTTCATTCAAACATATCAGAGTACTTTCTATCAATAATTTAAATTCCTTAAGAAGAGGGCCACAACTAAACCTGTGAATTCACAGAAGCAAGATTCCATAAACCAAACCATTTACAGACATACTTTAGCATTACTTTTCAGCAGGAGGCATGAGGATCTTGAGAACACAAGAGTCTCTGAAATTCAACCTGTGTGTTGCTTTACCCCTTCATGCTTAATTAAAATAGGTATCATTCAGAACAAGGAGCAAGCAGAGTCTCTGCAGAAAGCTGCAATGAACTTCTGGATCAGACAAGTTCGATGAGAATCATAAAACGCAGATATGAGATTTCTCCTTCAGCCAGGCTTTTACAGAAATATATTTTCCTGGCTAAAAAGGGTGGCACTGCAGAACTTTACAGAAGGAAATGCAAAAATATAAAGAGGAGAGTCTCATTTTCTTCCTCAGTAATCCCATAAAACCAACAATTCGTTTCCATAACAGCTCCAGACAGTTACCTGATTGCTGACAGGGCCTTTCTCATCACCTGAGGGGAGTTTACCCTCTGTTTTCCATGCTGTCAGTGGCAGGTACATGGTCAGAGCTGTTGTGCTCGTTATCCCCCAACTTCCCATTAATGTGACCAAAATGACCTCCCCAGTTGCAATAACTGTGCAAGCCTGTTTTACTTATAGTTCAGATTTTCTTCCTCTCATGGCACAAAGCTGAAAAGTAAACAACAGCTAAGAAAACATTTGCTTGCCAAAGCCTGGCATGAGAAGGTGCAAGTTTTCCTTGCCAGAGCCTCCTGGACTTGTGTTTACTCACACCCTCAGTACTGTTTCATGCTCCAGCTTGGCATTGTATGGGAACAATCACCATCCTCTTCAGGCCCTCCCTCTTATTCGGCTTTTGAGAAGCTACAAATATAACAGAACACCGTTTTCTGTGACTATATTGACTGCACTAATTACCCACAATATTGTATATTTGCTACTAAGAACATGAATGTGTGCTTTCAAAGTGTGACATTCAGGGCTTCAAGGATGTGAAAGGAATTAGATGGATTGTTCTGTCACTTAATCCGAGGCTCTGATGTACTTTTAAAAATTTGTTTAAAACCCCAAAAAACAGAATACACATTTTAACTGTTGAACTTTTACCAGCTAAAGGAGTTTGTAAGGACCCTATCACTATGTGATTACAACAGAAGATACACAGTTAAGGTCAGGTCACGGTTTCCAAGAACATTCACAGGGACTGAGGATGAGGAAAACGAGGGATGGATTCTGCAGGAGCCTTCAGGAGACTGAGCTGCTCACTGGGGAAGGGCCTTGAGTATTGCATTCACTTCCTCTGCAACTGCTGTCAGCGCAAACTCAAACTGCTCCTGCAGAGAGAACAAAAACAAACTCTGATTAATAAAACAAAACACTTTCCAAAAGCCTGGTGCACTATTCCGGAGCTGAACATCCTCAAGACATTGTTAAAAATACGAATATGCAGGATGAACTGTGCACTGCAATGGAAAAGAACAAAATGTTCTGGGATTATTGATGTCATATAACATGTTTGACAGCATCTTGAAGCCAGAGTAATTTTAATGGAGAAAAATGTTAGCAGCAGAACATAAGCTATTGGGACACAATTGATGTATTGCCATTGCGTGGTCAGAAGGGTTTGGGAGTAGCTGATCACCAGCCATTTACTTCTGACACAGAAATGGGAACTCATTAATATAATTGAGATACGCAATAAGTGAGATGCTGCAAAGCAGAGGTTTTGGCTTTTCCTAGGACTCTTTCTAGTTGAAACAGTCTAGAATAAATATCTCCTCACCTTATATCTATTATAGAGAACAATATCTGCTTTTTGGCTTACCTGTCACCGATCTTTTTAAACCTCTATTTTTACTGGTGTTTTCACACCCACAAATTACTCAATGGTGTTTAGACCACTCCTATATAATAAATACTTGGAAAGCTTTTTGCTGTTTTAATTTACTGTAACAGCACCAAAATGATGGGCTGGCAGAGGTGTGAAGGACACAGCCATGAATGGCTGCTGCTTCTAAGTGCAAACCTAACTTGCTCCTGAACTGTGTAGTCCTACAGAAGGACAAAGGAGTGTTAAATCCTCAAGGTTAACAGATGTTATATTTTTCAAGCAAGAAATTTTTCTTGGTATTTTAGCTTACTGAAATATCTCACTGGATGATTTGGAGTTTGCAACTTTTCAATGAGCAGTTACTCAAATGATAGGCAAATCAAAGACACCAGGTAAGGACGGTGGAGGCATTTCTGATTTTCTAGAAGTACTCCAGAGTTTTAAGATAGCTGGAGTCAAGGTGCTGAAGAATTGACTTTGGGAATGGAAGTCTGAGATACACCCTACAAAACATCCCAGGATCACTGGTGGGATACCGTTTGTGCCTTCCATTAGAAAACTGGTGGTCTGGTACTTCCAGCCCCTCAGTTTGTGCTGCCAGGGGCTGTGTGGCATGGCTGCAGAACACAGCCAGCCCCCAGAGGTGATTACTGGACTAATAGTATTCATTTTCTATGATGTTTCACTTTCCTGTAGAAATTTGCAGGAAGGATGAAAGAACAAACTACAGGTGTGCAACTCACAGTTCAGAAAGGCAGCTGACTTCTAATTCTCACCTCTATGCAGAATCATTTCCCATGTGAAGACACTTCAGAGAAGTAATGATGGACACAGTGCCAAGGCAGAAAAAGAAATAAAAACTCAGAATAATTTCTGAGTGATGATGACATTCGAGAACTTTGCTTTCTGCTTGGTGCTGTCAAAGTGGCATTCATGTACATTTGCTGGACTGCAGCCAACAGTTTTTAATCAGACATCAATTCACCCTAAAGAGTAGGACTCATCCTCACTAGCCCTGAAAATGGTGTATATGACTGCCTATGGCTCCCTGCATGGCCTATGGTCTCTGCAATTAAAGCAAAGGCTGGGAATGCTGGTGGCCATGCAGGAGCATCAGTTGTGTTTTAACCAGAGCACAGTGAATGTGTGAGAGGAGTTGGAGGGCAGCAGGGGCAGAGAGGGCATGCCAGTGGTCATGCTGTGCCAGAACCAAACTGGGGCTCAAAAAGCTTCAAGACATTGAGGCTGATGCATGAGAAGTGCATCGGGGAGAGAGAACTCTGGTAGGAGGAGGCAGGAGTCACTGGACCCCATTGATACAGCCCTGTGAGATGAGAGACCTGTGGAGCAGCCTGGGCAGGGTAGGAGACCCTTGTGGTGGGGCTGGCAGGAGAGGCACCAAGCAGGTGGTCCTGGAATGCTGGCACTCAGTTCTGAGTGGGACAACTGGCCCCCACCGTGCCGGTCCTTGGAAAACAGGGAGGACAACAACAGAAGAAGGTGATCTGAACACGATGGGACTGACACAGTGATGCAGTCAAGTTCCAGAGATGAGCAGAGGCCTCTTTCAGGATGTGAGAATCAGTTTAGAATGAGGGAAGGTCCCCATGGTAATGAGGTGACCTAAGGTACTCTTCATATGAGTATATCACAGCCAGGAAAACCTTGTAAGATCAAGGACTATAGTCCATATTATTAGTCCCATTGCTGAAAATAACTTGTATTGCTCTAAAGTAACTCACTCAGCAAATCTGCCCTTTAAGCTTGTTGGTTCAGGATGTGTTCACCTTATTATGATGATCTGTCAGGTTGTAGACCAGCTGACCCCTCGAGGAGGTCACCCTCCAGTCACCCCTGACGTGAGCATAGGGCATCATTGCACCCTCTGAGCAAGAGTGTCTGTCTCGCCTGGGGACTGTGGGCTGAGCAACAGGAACTCAGTATGGATTTTGGAGACAAATTCAGTGGAGACTACCAGCAGACCTCAGATGGGACCTTAATGGTTGAGGCAAAACAACTTACAAATGTGATCTTTATGTCCAGAGCTCAAAACTGACAGTGAAACACTGCAGTAAAGGGGACTGCAGCAGAGCAGGCACGAGATGTGTGGGGATGTGGCCTTTCTGGGATGGTGCAGCTGAGCTCTTCCCCCTCTATCCTTCTGCATAATACACACAGGCAAAACACAGAGAGTGCAGTTTCCATTGATGTATGTCACCATTGTCCAAAGAAAAGCCTTTACACACTTTCCACACTCTTCCATGAGGATGAACACAGAGCAATTTTTCAAGGAGCTCAGTTTGTTGGTCTGTACAGCTACACTGCCATTCACATATGCTATTGGCATATACAAGGCTGTCTGGACATGAATTTTAACATCTAGCTTTGCCTAGAAAACTGAGCTGGACGGGCATTCGGTGGTGTCAGTCCACCTACAACACAGAGGTGACAAGACTATACTTAATAAAAAATAATAAGCTACATTTCATTAGGTTTACAAAAAAAAATTCACAGGAAAACAAACTGGGTACATGTAGCATATATGATACAATCAAGAATCTAGCTGATATTACAGGTTGTGAGAGGAAGGATATAGAAGGAGAGAGGAGAAAAAGGAAATATATATTTCTCCCATCACAGAGAATACACTTCCTCCTTCATTACTTTTTCCTCTCACATGTAGCACATCAATTCTGTTTTATGATTCCCCTGCAAAAAAATTCCACAAACCCTCTGTTATGCTTCCCAGAAATGCAGAATGTTGTTCTGATAATTTCATTAGAATTTATTATATACAATGCTTTTGAATGAAAGATCCCTTCCAGAAGACAAAATGCTGCAAACAAATCTTTCCTATGCCTACTGGAAATGTGGAGCGCTGCCTGCTGGAAACACAATAACATTGCTGAAGGAAGTTGGTGTTTATTTTGCCTAGGGATATTCTCTAATTGGCATTTCTAACCTGACTTTTAATCCATCGTTTTAAATTACTCCAAGAGTCTAATATTCCTTATTTGTATTCAGCTGGGAAAGCACAGGGGTTTGTTTAAATCCATCAGAAAAATTCTCTGGGGATCGTGCATTGCTAGCATGTAACCAGATATTTATAATTTGCAAGACATTAGCTTGAATAAGTGATTTGGGTGGTTTTGAGAAAATGACAATGATGGAAGAAGGAGTAAGAGGAGAGATAAGCAATATCCTGAGAAAATTTTTCATCCTGGATGAAAACACAGGATACATTTTTTTTTCTGGAGCTCTTCCAGACAGATGTTTGGAGGGAAAAAAACATGTCTTAAGGGAGATTTTCATGGAACTAGGGTAACTATTGCTGAGCTAAGTAAGAGAAGTTGTTCACATAACCTCATTCTTTGGTTCTGGAGTGATGTTTTTTCTTCTGCTGAAAGCAACAAGCCATAATTTCTCTGCTCTGAAAAAGAAACTGGAATCTGAGCTCTATGTTGCTACAGAGCTGCTATATATTTTGGAGGCATTTACAGAATAGCCCAGGACTTGCATCTTCTCTCAGAGTAAATATATATGACATTGAATACTGTGTGCTATTTGCATTTTTTTTTCAGTCTGAATAATCAAAGCAGAAGAATGATTTGTGCTATTTTCTTGTCTTACTTGCAGATAAAGCTTAGTTAGCTTTGACTGGCTTATCTTTATTTTTCAAGCACTTACTTAATTGGTAAATAATAATTAACGTTCCCCCAGCTGTTCTTCAGCACTATTTCTCCTCGTATTAGTGGGAAAATAGAATGATTGGGAAGAGATTCAGGAAAAGTTATGAAAGTGATGTTGATTTCTGCAGCATATTTATTTCACCTTTGCCCCTCAGCAATTTCAGCTCCCTAAATGATGCAGAAATTCCTGTCAGTTCCAGCTTGGCCAAGACAGAGTGCTGTCACATTGCTACTCGGTACTATAACTACCATTTGATATTTTATAATGTCATAAACAGATTTATTTGGTCTCCATGCCAGGAACAAGTTTCTTTATTGACATATTTGCAGCTCTTAACTTGCAGCAAATACTGTAAAATATCATTCCATACAACACTGGAATTGTTAATAATAGTAAGTTTCATTTCTAATTTAAGTGACTACAATCACACTATTGGCTATCTTTAAAAGTTTTACATTGTGGAAAAATGTCAAAACTATTACAAGTGACAGGAATTAGAGAGTAAAGCATTCACCTCACCAAAGGGTACAAACATAGTTTCCATGTTACATCCACAAAGGACAAGGCTGTAGGCACGATGTAAGCTTCTTCCATTCAAAGATACTAAAATTTACTAGATTTCCTACAAAACTTTATTTCCTTTAATTTAAAACTTCTGGGTTTTTTTCCCATTAAAAAAAATCAAATGCAGCAGTTACATTCTCTTTCATGAATAGAAGCTTTAAAAAAAAAATATTACATGCACAGTTAAGCACAGAGAGTCTAAGCAAATAATCCATAGTTCAGGATGAAAGCAAGAACATTCTTTCAAATGCACATTTTCTTTAGCAGGCTATAGATTGTTGTCTTGACTGCCCTTCATATATGGTAATCAAGATAGATGTTGGAGATGTTACAAGAAAGAACAGTAAACACCAAAGAAAGTAACCTAGATAAATCTTCAGCATAAATAAACCTCAGTTGGTAGGGAGCCAAACAGTAATCAGCAAGCGACCTGCGTTAAATTAGGTCATACCCTCTCTCTTCTGTCATGAAAACAACTACTGTGAAAGACCTTTAATGTATTTAAAATCCCAGTGGATTTATTGACAGTACCTTTGTCTGGACCATGCCTGGTCTCTGGTCCCTCAAGTGCTCCAGGGTAGCAGCAATATCAATCTCTTTAGCACCTGCAACAAACCACAAATTGGGCTGAGTTCAGAGCACAAGATAATCCATGCTGCATCTGTCAATCTCTTGCTATCAGGTTCCCTTTGGGCTAACAGTCCAATTGAAAATTATTACATCCATCTCTCAGCAGATTTGGCAGGCAGCTGCAATTTTTGTGTTCATATCGAAAAATAAGAGGTTGGGGCACCTTTTACTAACATTAATTCAAGAGGAGCCAAAGAAAAACAAATTCTTAAAAATGTCTCTGCCCCTAGAGCAGAATATATTTTGCAGAACCTGAGGGTCTGTCATGGCAAGGCCACTGAGTGTCCCTTTGTCAACTCTAAGAGTATGCACTGAATTAAGGGCCTGAACCACACGAAGAATTAACTCTGTAAAAACAAGGTTTAGGTGACCTTTTGTCACTTGCAGTTGAGACCCAGAAAACCTGTCCATGGCTCCCTTGTTCAGGACCTGCCAGACCATCTTGCTGTGTCATCACTGCTTCACCTGGAAAATCTAAGGCACTTTCTTTAGGTTATACTTTGGGATTCTGGACACGGCTGCCGTGTAATGATCAGGAGCACCAGGACAGATAATAGACACAGACAGCCCAACAGCTCCCCTCCTCTGTGCACATGGAGGTGCTTTCTTTCAGGACATGATCTATGGAGATCAAAGCAAGTCCTCAGGCCTCTTCCCTTTCTTGTAATATGCAAAGACTAGAGAACTGAAGGGGGCAGGGAGATACTGATTTCCTCCTCAGTTTCCTCTAGTGTAAGACATTTCAAGACCACCCTCCTCATTTTCCTTAAGGGCCTAATCTGATAATGTTTTTTTAAGGGATTGAGGGGAAATCAGGATTTTGGTCCTTCCTGTATGAGCTCCAAGAGAAGACTGGTTGGAAATCCTTCGAGCTGAAAAGTTCAGCTACAGAATTTGGCTTTTGTGCATCTGTTCCCTTCTGCATCTTGCAAGAACATCTCATGGTGCTAAAGCATCAGGCAGATGGGCAAAGGGTCATCCTAGCTCAAGTGTACCTCCATCTCCGCTTCACTATTCCCTGCTGCCCTGGTTGGCTGAGCATTCTCCTAGGGTAGATGTGGGTTTGTAGCTTGAGAAGCTTAGAAAGGTGCTGACCTCAGGTCTCTCCTCTTTCATACATTCACTTTTGTCATGAGATGGTTTATTCAGGGCAGTGATTGGCTACAATTCTGCAGTCTGCTTCTATTTTAAAGGATAGTCAGCTCTGAAGAAGACTGTGACCCTTGGATGTGCAATTTGACAACCATTTTCCATTGTCTGGCCCTAGTCCTGGCCCAGCCTGTGCCAATCGTGGCTTCCTTCTGGAGACATTTAAATATGCCCAACTATTCACAGGTGTCTCAGTGGCCAACTTGTGGGCCATGCACCTAAAGCATTGTTCCTGCAATAGCTAACTTGCATACATCTGGAAACATACTTGTTTAGTCCTCAGAACTGGATTTTTAAAATTGGACCCAATGCTTATCACTCTTCCTACAAGTCTTGTAATTTAGGGGCTTGTCTAACCGTAATTAGGTTCATGTCAATGTAAACATCATTTACCTCCTTATTTACCCAACTCAACTTTATAACTCAGCACCACCTTTTAGAAAATTCAGAAACGTAACTAGTAGTGAATGATTTCATTTGGTATTCTTGATAAAAGATATGAAAAGATAATTTAAAATAACATTGGCTCTACAAGAATAATTGACTTGCAATATGTTCTTCATATCAATGAAAATATGTTCTTCAGCTGTATCAGAAATGAAATTAATTAATTCAGTAAATAAAACAGTGACAACTTAGAAATGGGATTTACAGGGATGGGCTTTGAAAAAAAAAAATTATATTTTAAAATTAAAAAACCTCAAAATCTTCTTACAACAGAGCAAAGCAATACATACTTAAATATGCTGTAAAATCTGATAATAGTGACAATCATTATAAATTAAATCTGTTGCAGGTTTTCCAGTGGCAATTCACCTGGAAAGCATCAGTAAAGGTACTCTCACTGCAAACCCTAACAGTAGCTCATTTCTGTGTTTATTCTCACACATAAACGTGCAGTTAGGTGAGATTTTCCTGTTTCACCACAGATATCCATGGGACCAGAGCTGTGTGAGTACTGTACATCCTTTACAGCCTTACTTGTAGCTTCATTTGATTACCAGGAAATAAAATGTCCCAGTAGCATTTTGGCTCAACATCAGAGCAACTCTCAGAAATTAAGATATGAGAAAAATTTAAGACACTGTCATCCATGCACGAGGTTAACCACTGTCCTGAGCTGTCCTCTGAGGTGTGTGCTGCAGGGATGAACCTGGAGATCCTCCCACTGGAGCTGGCAGGCTCGAGTGCTACAGGGACTTACCCATGGCTGTGAACATATATGTCACCCCCCCAGTGAGGGATGGTCTTTATTGGAAATTACGGTAGCCTCAGGACAAAAAGGAAAAAGGTTCAGGACAAGGCATAATAACACTCCTTAATGGCCAGACAGGCTTCTGAGCTTACCTTTGAAAGAGTTAATTTATCCATTTCTGTGATGCAGATTGCAGGCAGTTACTAGTGAACTGACACTTGCTTTTTTATCATCATTAAGGGAATGACATGACTAATATTATGAACTACACTTGATCAGAAATTCCTGATCTAGCAAATCAGCAAAGCATATGCTTGCAATGGAACACAAGAACAGTCCTAGTGGGCTGGGTGTGCTTAATGGGAAGCTTATTCTGAAGTATTTTGTCAGTAAAGTCCCTGAAATGTCAGTTTTTGCTGATTCGTGTCCCCCAACCCATGGGTTGTGATCAGCAGGTCACCCAAAAGCACTTCTGACATCCTCAGTCATAGGTAATTAAAAGGAAAAGGAGAGGCAAGTATGATTTTGCCCAAATCAAGTGTCTTGTTGAGATGCCAGGGGGTTAGAGACAATCCAAAGCAGAGACATGGAGTAGTTTGCTAACCCCTTTTTTCCACCTCTGAATGCCTTGGATACTATCGTGACGGGAACTACCTAAGTACTCAGAGAGACTGGTCAACAAAGCTTAGGGCTGCAAAGACAGGATTCTGTTTTGGAAGAAAAAGATCTTGGAACAAGAAAAGGAAAAGGAATGAAATCAATGGCATAGGGTAAAGCCAGCATGACTTGTTTTCTGTCTGCATGAGTAAACCTTTCTTCCTTCTCTGCATCTACATGTTCTGCAGCTATTCCCTTACTGTGGCTAAAACAAATGTGTTTAAATATGTATATTGCTAGTCCCCAAATAAATCTCATTTTGTGATGAGGTCCTTTTTTCTCTTCAAGCTTAGGCTAGACTGCTGTTATACCATGTTGATTCAGCTCACTTCCACTGACGTGTGCGATAGCCTGTAGAAAGTTTTCCGGTGACAAAGGAAAAAGAGACAGACAAAGGAAGAGATTTTCAAGACACAAAGGGAGGTCTGAACCCAACCTGCCGTCACAGGTGAGAGAAGCTCAGTGTTTAAGTGCATTGTGAGCTTTCAACTCCCTTTGGAATTATTTTGCTGAAATCTGACACAAATTCAACACCTTGTTTGCCACGCTCAGTCTTTCTCTTTAAGCTGAGAGTACAGCAGTATGGCATAACATTCCATAGTAACCAATTACATTTTGTTTATGCTTTTGAGCCTTTTCAGGTGACAAAAAATACAGCATATGCTACAGGACATTGGGAGAGAGGGATATTGCTTCTCAGGAATATCCTGACTTGGGGTCAAGTCACGCTCTTACTGAGATGGCTACAAAACATCCACACACTGCTAAGGTATTTTAAACATTACTTATCTGGAAAGCCCACATATAAAGTACATTTGATGCAGCGGTTTATAGTAAAAGCTGGAAGAACTCAATCCACTGATTCCATGGATATCCTGTTATTGGAAGTGTTTTTCTCAGGCTACTAAATTATGAAGTCCAGTAATAAATGCAGATGTCAATTTATTGTCATATAAGAAATAATCTAGAGGAAGGGTTAAAAATACTAGGCTGGAGAGCATTGACATTTGTGAAAGAGAACACAAAATATGTCAAAAAAGCAATATTTTCTATCTTTTCTCCCCATCAATACATATCTGTCTGCTTAACAGTGCTACTGGTTTCAGAAACTAAAGAGAGGGATAAAAGAAGCAGCATTTAAACAATAAAGAACTACCTTTTCACCTTTTGACTGTATTTTACTCTGCAGGGAATAAATTTGGTTTGTGTTTGTGACAGGTTTTTACACAATGGATTTCACTGCTTGTTTTAAATGAATGTACGAATGTAAGTTAGTGTGAGACTGATCTAATATCGTACCAGCAGTACGATGAAAAATGACTGTGCAATGTGCTTTTTTAAAAAAACAGAACATGCATTTGCAGTAATTCATTGTGAGCCAGATAGTACCAGCCTTCCCCTTCCCTTAGCAGCTCAGTGAGCTCACTGAGTAAATACCTCTGAAAGCACTTCCACACCAGTGCAAGCCAGATTTTAACTTCAGTAATTAACTATCATCTTCCAAAAGGCTTAAAGCATTCACAGTGAGTGCACAACAACCCACATCAGGAACATTAACTGGATAAACTAAAAGAAAACAAGAGAAGATGCAAGCTGAATGATATTTTGCCCCCAAGGAGAGAAGTGGTTTCTGAAGTTTAGGGTCATATCCTTTGCAACCCTTTCTCTCCCCGCAGGCATGAATGCAGGATGCATGCTGGCACTTAACAGCTGGTGCTCCTGATTAGCAGATCTCAAGGGGTTAAAGTGTTTGCCCTTAGATAGTTGCCTAAGTGGAGTATCCAGCACGTCATAAAAACATGGATAAAAGTTAAGTTCCCTTTTTCTCCCTCAATAAATAACGACCTGGCCAAATTCTGCTGCCATAGGCTCCATGAGGTGACCAGCAGCCTGCAATATTTAAAATCACAGTGAATTAACTAACGTTAGTTTTATGACTATAATAATGAAAGCTTCCCTCTTTTCTCATCCCCC